ATATAATTATATTAATGTAAATGTATATATATATATATATGTTGGTATGTATGCATAGGTCTTATATACATGTATATATTTATATACATGTTTGTTAATACAAACACATATACATCCATATAAATATATATGTTATTATGTACAATAAAATATGCGGATATATATATATATTATCTATAAAAAATACGTATATCTAATATAAATACATTTAGAAATTCAAATATACAACTACAATTAAATTTGTTTTATAACACAAAAAGAGTGTTCACATTAAACATTTAACTTGATTTCCGCAATTTAATTTTTACGCAATTCTAATGAATTTGAAGAAGACAAAGAAAACGGTGGAATCTCGTGCACAAAATGGCGGGAATTCGAACTTTTATGAATATGATTTGCAAGACAAAAAATCTAGTCTTTTAGGAATGTATTTGACCTTTTAAATATGTTACGGTTTTATTCAAACTCTCGGCTGTCCGTCGAGGAACATTAGAAAAAAATGTGGCCCCAAACCTCCCGGTCTGTGACTGATCGGATAGGGTACCAAACGATAACAAAAACACAATTTGATGCAAACTGTTACTTTTCCAGGTGTGTACTTACAGTTGTGGAACCGAGACAAAACCTTTCTGTAAGATTGACTTGTCTATTGATAGTCCAATGAAATATGGATGGAAGGTGTTCGGTGATGCTGGTGGTGCTGATGAGAATTTGTATGTGATGAATGTCCCAAAAATGTGTGTGATGTTCAAAATGAAGTTGTCTAAAGAAATTTGAATGCTGCATTCTGTGTGGTTACACCAAGGCCAAAAGAAAAAAATACTAACAGCAACAGTTGGTTTTTGGTGTGGTAATTTTCCACTGTATAACACGGGAGGGTAATAAATTGAAGTCTTGCCTCCTCATGCATTTTCGAAGTAAGGGGTTATGCAAATTCTCAATACCTTGGCAAATAATCCATATTAAACTAACTTGATATACACACTGTTGGCCAAAACTAAAGCAACTAAAATTGCAAAGATAATAAATACCGTATACAATTTTCAAAAATAAACATATCGTGATGACTTTTATATCCACGGTACCCCACCAAATTTCGATATTTCAATTGAATTCACTGCATTTTGACACCTTGAGTTCTTATTGAGTACCCCTTTTTCCGGTAGCCCCCATATAACGGGTTTGAACCCGAACTTCAATCGAATTCGTTGTAATTTGATATTTTGTAGCCGTATTTGGTAACAAATCTTCCTCCCAAGAATTATTTATATTCGGACCCTTTTGGGGGTAGTTCCCATTAAAATAGTTAACTGATTCCTTCTGTGTTTTGGGGTTGTCTGCCTATAGGCGTATTTCACTATAGTATATGCCCCATACTATAGTATGGAATTCTAAAACGATTTAGCCATATGTTGTAATCATTCGACCTACGGAGGATATCGAGATAAAAAAGTAGAACGACAGGTTCGAGAACAAACTATGTCGGCCCAGGTTTAGGTCTAGACTTTATATAATGATACCTAACGATTTTCGTTTTTGGTTGATATTTAGCGTGAAATTGCAGTATTTTGAGGATTTTATACACATGTTCCTCCCTACCATTCGTTGTCAATATCCACCCACGTTTTATGGTTTTGAGATTTTAGGGAAAATCTCCATTGCTGAAATTTGTTGGCTTTCGCAAAAGTTCATATCAATTGGAATCCGACTCGGTGGAGCATTATGTTATGTCCTCGGATGAATTCAAGTTTGAAACTTACGACTCAGACGCGAAAAAATTGCGGTGAAAAAGCCTAAAAATGCAAAAATCGGGCTGAAATGTGTTTTTCTTTTAATGGATTTTGTTCTATTTACGAGATTTTTGAAGTAATAGATCGGATTGTTTATATCTCTTCTAAAGAAAATATACCGCTTGTTTCCGTTTGACAATTACCTCAAACATACATAAATTTCAAAGATTAGTTGCAGGAGTCAAAAATCTGTGTTTTATAATGGTCAGCACAATCATCAGATCTTCAACCTATAGAATCATCTTTGTAGTACCACAGATAGCAAATAAAATAAAAACGTGTTTCACAAACAACCAAAAGTTCAGGATGTGAGAAATAGTATATCTAAGGATCAAATTCAATGTCTCGTAGGTGAAAAATAATGGTTAAGCTGTCGATTAGCAAAATTTCAATGCTGGATTATAAGTTAGTATACAAATGAAATACTATAATAAAAGTGGATATAACTGAATTAAACAAAAGCTTAATAAAAACTCATTATTATTATCATTAGAATAATATAGAATAGAAAATGATGGGATTTGTTTATAAAGTATGAGAATTTACAAAACAAAATAAAATTTTTATTTAGACAGAAATTGATTTCAAATTTGCTTTAAGAAATTGTGGAATACCATAAGCATTTAAGAGTGATCCACACAGTTTTGAACAACGTGCATCAAAATCAGTTTGTATATCATTAGATCAGGAAAAAATTGTTTTCAGTATAATTGCATTTTATTCATCAATAATCTTCTGATAGCCTTGAAAAACTTGAAAAAAATCCAAAACATCGTGGAGAATAAAAACAAAATGACATGATTTACATACCCAGAGCATCATTTTATTATTATTATAGCAACTGTCTAGCCTTGAGATTGTTTTAATTGAAAACTTTACGTATACGTCAAATATAATCCACTGGATTTGTGAATAAGGATTTACCCCTCGGCGAACAATGTCATACATTCCCCACTAATAATTAGTTGTTTAAAAAACAACAAACTGGGATTCAGCCGGATTATTTTGCAAAAACAAAATACAAATGGTATCCTTAATAAACCGCCAACATTATATAATTATATGTAATAATTATAATGTATTTCAATATTTTTAAATAAGTATTCCTCCTACGTAAATGGCTACCGTTTCAAATATAAATTTCAGTTACGTCTGCATACTCGTTATTTGGTAACAATTGTTGTTGGATGTTGTCTGTTTACTCCAACATCCAATAAAAGCGAAATGTCCAATGTCCAGCGAGCGAAAAGACAGACCTAGTTTGACAGTTTAGGCTATTTTCCTTGCGGAAAATAGTTGATGGGCGAATTTCCCTCAACTCTCACACCTACAAGCTACAGAATTGAAATAGTCTGATGGAAATCCGGACTATCCCTCTTATGCGGTGAAAATGTGTCACATTAAATATTGGTTTTAGGTAACAGCAAGTGTTGTTTTACAACAAACGATACAACAACCACATGGAAATTTGTTGTTGTGAGTTATACTAGTGCCAACGTCATTTGACAGAAAAATGTAAACAAACAAACAAATTATCAACAAATTATATTTATTTTCAAAATGTAATATTTTTGAATCCTCAAAATTAAATTTAAAAACATGAATGAACATCTATCAAATTTATATTTTTATCGCTTCCTGATCTTTCCTATAATTGAGCCATTGTCACTTATATGTGTAACAATAAGAAAATGCTGGGAATTGCGAGTTATTCCGTGAATAAAGATTTGCTTCCTCAAACTTTCCCAGCAGGCAGATTTGGTAAATTGAATACGGGAGCACATTTAATAAAGAACAATTTCAAATTGTATGCGTTCCCTATTTTCCTGTTAGATGATTTTCAAAAACATAATTTGTCATATTCATATTGACACTAGTATTACGTTGAAAGAAAACGAAAAGATCTAATTTGTGTGCACCCTGTTGAAAATATACAACATTTGAACAGCAGGGCTCCTTTCACTTGTCCCATTTAGATCCATCGTTCAAAGAGAACAGATTGTACACTCGTACATTCATAGCAAACTGCCGAAATGAATTCCGCTCAACGAAGTGAACTACGGGAATGAACTGGAAATTGTTCCGATCGTTCATTTCAGTCATTACTTTGAACAACTATAATGAACGCTCCCACTGAACACTCTACACTACAATTGAAGTCGATCTATTCGCAAAATGGTTTACGTTTAATAAATAGGTGTAAATTTTAATTTTTAATGCAAAATAAGCAAAAAGTAAGTGAAAAGTGGCGATTGAAGTAAATCACAATGATTGTGGGCTGTAGTGAAATGCAAAACACAGCACAGCAACAAACGAAAAACATAATAATTTGCAACGAATTTCGAAAGCAAAGCTAATAAGTGAAAATGCGAATGTAGATACGAAAAAGGCAACACGAAGAAAAAATAAAATAAAAATTGCATATAGCCCACCAAACAATCGAGGGGGGCAAAAGCAAGCTAACAAATTTATTTCTTTTGCGAAAAAGAATAAACGGAGATTAACAAACATTGTTTTGTATGTTCTTTCAATGCATTCCAGATAAACAAAGTTTCGGCTAAAGAGAAAAAGTTACGATTTCTTTGGAATTTTGAACAGAATTTCGACAGTGGTACGTACCATCAATTGACCATTGGTCGGTCGGTCGTTGTTGTCGTCGTAATACGTAGTTACAATGGAAAAGAAAAGTAAAATGTGCAAAGTGAGGCTGAGACGCCTTCGGCCGGAATTAATGGACAAATTGAAGACAAAGCGTATGTTGTCGCGAGCCGACATGCAATTTAGTTCCTCATCATCTGAATCGGACGAAGATGACAATGCGGCCGCGGAGAAAATAAGTGTCCAATTGAAGAGTCCATTAGCCTTGAGCAGCAACAAAGACTTTGATCCGTTTGTGTTATTGACAGAAGCACAGCAAGCTCTTACTAAGAAAAATGAGAAGGAAGCCAGTGAGAAGGCGGTAGATGGCTCGAAGGAGACGGATAATCTGACAAACACTAACAACACAACAGCACCAACAACTAACCCTGAGAAATCATCAAAGAAAACAAAACATCGTAAACAACGGTCGCATTATTACCAAGTAATACCGGATGGTCAGACTAACAATAAACTTCCACTGCCCTCACAAGAAGCGTATTCGATATATTACCACAGTGATGGTGAAGGACCTTGTGGCTACAATTGCAATCACATGAGAATAGCTGATGGTGCTAAAGCCCTCTCGCCTACAGCACGGCGACGTAGTAGTACCGGAAGCAGTTCATCTCTATTATCAGATAAGTGTTCGATGCGTTTTTCGAAATTATTTGGCAGCAATTGCATATCAGTTATGGATGATGAAAATCCACCCACAGCATTGTCAAAGATATTGTCGATTAAAGAGTTCGATCCCTTGGCTCCACAACAACATGTAGCTTTGGTGATTAAATCGATAGTTTCCCTGTCAGAACTCAGCCAACGTGAGGATAATATAATCAATGTGGACATTGATAAACGTAGGATATTGGAATTTTCATCGATGAGCCAGGAAAGCAAGAAAAATTGTCGACTAAATCCATTTATGGTAAGTCCAAGGAACTTTATATTAATTCAAAGCCAAACAAAGTTGTTTGTCCTATTAGAATAAACTTTAGATTTTGGAGCCTTCGAATTTATGATTTGACATGAATCGATTGGATTGCTATCAAATTATACATATTTCGGGTTGAGGTAGGACCTTAGTTCGTGTTGCGCGGCTGTACAACACTTTATCAGTATTACCCCGATAGTTATTTTTTATGAACTCTTTACTTTAGTTTTAAGTTTTTTCATGGTTTTAGTTTGGACATGTCTGAAGTGTCCCTTTGTATAATGTATCCTCTTATTCGGCCTTAAGGCATTGTATACATATTTTTGAATACAAATTAAATTAATTAAATGGGCGTTAGAATCTTGACCAGTTAATGATTCCAAAAATGCTATGTTACACAATGCCACATAAGATATAACATTTGACTGATGAAGACCCAATTTGTCCATCCTGTACAGAGAAATGACTACAGCCGCCTCAATTTCGTACTGCGTTAGAAGCAGATGAGAAAATGGTAACTCTTGTGCATATTTAATGGAATTAAATTCACAAAAAATGCATATTTACGAATAGAATAGGTGTTGGTCTATATGTCCTCTTTTCATCACTTATCTTTCATTTGAATGTTAAACATTTGTTCTTGCTTCTACTATTAAGGGATCTGTATAGTCAGTCGCCCCGCCGTCGGAGCGCTACAAATCGTGTGTATCACATACCGGAATACTACAATTCGTAGTTTTCCGGAACATACAAAATGTTCTTAAAGGATATCACACAAACATTTTCACAGATCTAATATTTTTTGATAAAATGTATCTTTATTTTATTTCTTTTTTTTTAATAAATATAAAATATTAAGTTTTTTGTTTGTTTTGACATACCTCGACTCCCTTTTGGATAAGTTTTAATTCAATAGAACAAAATTAAGTCTATATTAATAATTCTATTACTTTGTTTCCCTAAAATCGGAAGACTGATTAAAATATATTGCATTATTAACTAATTAAGCTATTTTTTTAATTTTTGAACATTTTTTTTCAATGCATCACTATACTCTTCAAAGAGAGCTATAATTTTATTAAAAATATGTATATCATTTTAGGATGTTTCCAATATTGTCGTTACACATCCAGACGATGAATTCTTCACATTCTGTTTATGCAAGAATTGTGAAGAATATCGTGAACTTGTTATTCACATAATGGTGGAACAATTCAAGGCTCCTCATATGGTGGTTATGCTATTGGATGTTCTTATTAAGGCATACGGACCTATGTTAAAGTAAGTTAAAAACATCAGTAGAAAAAAACCAGGTCAGGCACTAAAGGTATTTGAATTTAATTTCAGGAACATTACAGCTTATAACACTTTTGAAAAATTGCTCGATCAGAACAAAGATGTCTATTGGATTACTTGTGGTGTAATCTACCACAAAAAGGGTGAACATTTGGATTTTATCTACGATGAGAACTTGTCAGACAATATGATTTTCGTTCTATTTAGTTCAATGTAAATCAAAAGGAAATCTTGTAAAAAATTACAAATACTCTAATGATGTTCTATGTGTGTGTGTTGTTGTTTTTTTTTCTAGTTTGATGTTAAACAACCCTTTGCTACTGTTACAAAATCTTGCTTTCCATATTGAATGTATTGTGAAGGCGTATGCGGAGGGATTCATGGAGATTGTTGAACCCGATCAAAGCAAAATACCTGCTGAGGAAATGATTAACTGTAAGTATATCATTGTTTTTAATTGCAGAGATATTGAGGAAGATCCAATTGATTGTGTGGTCTTTTTTCTTTCAGATATTGTAAACGGATACGATGACTTGATATGCATTTCAGAACAAGTTGCATCGTATCTATTTGCTTTTGAAAACTATTTTTTGCGAAAATTTTCATTAACTTGGAAACTTTTATGCCAACGTTTGTATCAAAAACACGTTCATGCACATCTGGCCGATACAATGTTGGCTTGTATAATAACCGTAAGTACCATGTTGAGTCGAAGAAATAAAATTGTCTAGCATTGCGTTTTCTTTTTCCAACTTCCAGTTGAAAGAGGAAGAATTGACATCACATCATACGGATCTTATCAAACGTTATATACAATTTGAGAATATTATGAATCGTGTCGATATCTTGTGGACAAACGTTTGGGTGAAATTGAACGAATTTAATTTGTCGGAAGTGGAACGCAAACGACGTAAATCGCTATTGGATGTATACCGCATTTTCGATACTGTGGTACAGGATGCCATTGCATTTTCGCTGCAGGACAGCGTTGACGATAATGATTTTTATTATTTTCGATCACTGAAGAATCGACGTTTAGCGTGGAAAAATATTATGTCTTACGCCAAAATGAAATGGCCGGACGGATTTAATCAGCCACCCAATACGTTAGTCGTAGATAATAAATGTGTAAAATGTAATGTTTCTCTAGAATATCATAAAGAGTAAGTTGAATGCATTGAGCCACCATATTTAACCGACTGACATCATTCTCAAATATCTGCCCACTCACAGGTTTTGCCAGTGCATAACTTGTTCCATTGCTGGAGGTCCTTTACCGCCAACTCGAAATGCAGATAAGTGTTCTAAATGTTTGGCGCAGGATATTGTTGTAAAGGATGAGAATTTCTATGATTCGAAAATTGTGAATGTATGTGCCAATGACGATTTTCAAAATCCGCCAAAAAATAGCATTGCAACAGCAAAAGCAAAGAACCTTGCTCTTCAGTATATTGATGAAGAATTGTATGTTGCGCTGGAGGATATGTTGGATGAAAATGGTGTACCGACAAGTCAACAAATATCTGAAATAATGACAAATGGTTACCACATTGCATGGGCTGTATTTACCCATTTGAATAGTAAGTCCAAATGCATATTTTTATTCATAAAGTCCGTACATATGTGAACTTTTGCAACTGCTTCATATTGATATATCTTTAAGTATTATTTGTTTTCAAACTAAAGTATTTAAAAATTTGTTTCTTACAGACCGTAAGCGTTTCCCTTTCACTACCATTGAGCGACAACATTTCTGCAATAACTGTAAAATGGCATCCTGTCATTTGGCACGTAAAATCTTAAACAACGAAATATCTCCGTCGCTTTCACAGGACTTAATTCATTACTTCCAACCAATGTCTATGACACGTGAAGAGCTACGCTCCATACTGCCGAATATTATGTTGTATAACCGCAAGTTGGTAGCTTCGAACAATGGCCTCGATCTTATAGATGTTCATGATTTGGTAGTGAAAATCTATTGGATTTTCATAATATCCGTTTATGCCATTTATGTCATTGACTACCATGATAATAATTGCGAAAACGAGGCCGAAATAAATATAGAAGCTCTTGAATTAAAAGACAATGATATAAATGTAAATGTGGATAAAATTGTTGGCAATAAGGATGATACAAAGTTTTTAGAATTTCTCGATAAAATTAAGAGGTATGTTTGGTTTGTATCAATTGCTTAATAAGTCTTCAACAAAAACTCTTTCACTTTTTATAGTTTATCACCATATAATAACGATGTAGAATCCAAGTAAGTATAAACAGACGTGTGTATGAATAGAGAAGTTTGTTCATTATTATTTTTTTTTCGTAGTTTCGACTCCGTCGTCAATATCGATAGCGCGGAAATTCAAAAGAAACTAAATGATATTTTAAAAATAACAGATTGCGCAGAGTAAGTATAATTCAGGCTCCTTTATTATAACTTTGTACTGAAAAATGTCATCCAAATCCAAATTAACCATTTGTTCGTTTTATGACCTCCTTTAGACCTGCTTCACAGTGCGAAAATATCTCTCAACATCTAAGTGAACCCGTTGAAGGAGAACAACAATTATCTACAGAGTTAAATACTCCGTCGACTGTCGAATCTCAGCCCAAAAAGACATGTAAGGAAAAATCCAAGAAATGTAAGATGTTCTCTTGCCCTCGATTGCTTATATTCATATGAAAATATGCTTCAATTCCTATTTTACAGGCGATCATCATTCCGATATTGGTAGCGACCACTGCAAAGAGAATCACTCGAATAAAAAACGTTTGAAGAAGGTATGCCGCATACATCGTGCCCAAATCGACAAAACAAATGAAAATAAAAATCTTACTTTTTTCAGGATTGCAATCATGCTAGAATGAATGAGACTAGGGAACGATTACGTAAAAAATTATCCCAAATAGTAAATGCACGCAAAACATCCAAGTCTTCACAGCCAGATACTACAGCTGCAGCACCAACCACTAGCGTTTCTGAACCGCCCAACCAAGTAGACAATGTGCTGAATGCAGACGAATTAAAAATTTTCCAACAGTTGCAGCAGCAGATGCCGCATTCGGCATCGTGGGATGAACCCCATTATATTACAGCTACATTCGAACAATTACATCAAGCAAAGTTGCATGATTTGTGTGAATGTTTGCAACATTTGCAAACCAATCAAAAGATTGATACTAACGGCGGCAAGGCAGTGAGTAAAAAATCTCAGCACAAACAAAATCAGTCGAAAATTTCATCACAGCAACAGCATAAGCCAACATCATTGGAGCCACCCAACAAAAAATCAAATCTCAGTAATAACTCAACACGAGACGCATCAACATCCAGTCAAAGTACAAAGAGTAAGGAACGAACTAAAGAGGCGACATCTAAATCATCAGGTCAAGAAAAAACATCCGTCGCATCACCACAATTTCCACCAACCACATCATCAAGTGCACCATCAGCGACTAAGCCATCAAGCAGCCTGGATTTTGTGAGCGAAATATGTGAAATAATTGACAATTATTCCAAAGAACAAGCCAAGAAAAAGTGGATAAAAGAAACACTGAGTTTTATAGAGGGGCCAACATCTGTTGCTGGCAAAAAGAAATCGCAGCCTCAGACCTCAAATCCTAAAAAAGCCGCCAAGAAGGCGAAGCAAAAGCAAAGAAAGGACGAAGAGAAGCGTATAGCTGAGTTGCAGGATCTAAGATGTCAGTTCCAAAACATTTACTTTAAAGAGTTTACGGAAAAGCTAAATTTAAAGTCTTTAAAGGCTAACAAGAAACGAGACAAAAAGAAAATCGGTGAATTGGAAAGTAATATCAAGAATTTGCAACGGGCTAAGGCCAAAGTGGAAACTGCCATACTCGAGCTAATTGCCACAGTCAAACAAACAAATGCCGAATTCAAATTTTCATACTTGCCTACGAAAGAGCAGCAATTGGAAAAGGTTAAAGAACTCGAAGCCATGAATTCGGATGCCAATGAAATTAATGAGCCGGTAGCGGAAAAAGGTTTAAAACTTACCGAGTTGCATCAGTCGAATACTGAAACGAATGTGCCTTTGGCGTCGACACCATTCTCAATTGCTCCTACAAACAATCTAAATATGGTACCGGAAACCTATAGTATGCCGTATGCTCATGCCAACCACTTCCCTTATAATTTAGGTTTCCCACCTACTGCTGCAGGCCCAGCCCCATTCGGTTTGATGCGTCCATCTCCTATGTGTTATGCCCCACCAGCTCCTGCATCTGGAACTCAACAGCAACAACAGTTAGGGCCAGATGTTGTCGCCACTATGTCTGCAAATAGTAGTGGTGCCAGTGATCCCTCTAAACGAATTGTCACCATACGGAGGGTCAATTTGCCAAATGTTCCAGAGCCCCAGGTAACCGTTACTGCCAAGGGCAGCAGTCCCGACAAGGACAAGCTGCTCTACACCTTTATCAATGGGCAACTTGTACAAACTTCTGCTGCAGCTCCCCCAATCGCCATACCCCAAATGCCAGTAATAAACCCAATGCAACCCCCATCGGCACCACCTCCAGTATCTGGACACATAAACAAATTACCACCACAACCAGAGCATTTATTAACTATACCACCACCTCCCCCACCAAAACTTTCAAAAAGTCAAATGAAAAAGGAACGAAGGCGTTTGGCTAAATTGCAGGCAGAAGCTGATGCAGCGGAAGAGGCAGAAAGGAAACGTTTAGAAGAGGAGCAGCAGAGATTGCGGGCCCTAGAAGAACAAAGGCAACTTGAGTTACAACAACAACTCAAGCAAAAACAATCAAAGAAAAAGAAGAAGAAACCAAATACCCAACAACAATCGCATGTTTTGCAGTCCTCCTCCAGTGTATCCTGTCCAGCGACAAAAAAGGAAAGTAAAACAAAACAAAAACAAAATAAACTAGCCAATTCCAATTCGACAACATCAGTGTCCACTAATGAAAATAATGAAACTCCTCTCCAACTACCACAGCTAATGATGCAAAAATCTTCAAAACAGAAACGTTCGGTCTCCACAACAACATCGTGCTCAGCTGCCACATCGTCATCATCTTCTTCGAACAATTCAACCAGTAGTCAGATGAATACCCGCGATAATTCTGTGAGCAGTTTCAAGCCTAGCAACACCAAGAGTTCCTCGACTAGTAAGAAGAGTGCAAAAGAAAAGGCAGGTTCTGCCAATAATAATAATAATAAAATGAAGGCGAATTTAAAGAAGAAGAAACTAATGACACCTACTTCATCTGCCGTTACGTCTGACGATGAACAAGATCAGAAACAAAGTGGCGAAAAAAAACCCGTGCAAAATTCCTCAAAGGTCCAACAGTCAACGCAGCAGAAGGGAAACAAAAATACAAAACCTAAATCGGGAAAAGCTAAGGAACCGTCTAAAACAACTAAGCCGCCCCAAACCCCGCCAAGTTCAGATTCCGAAGATGATGCTAACACTGAAGTACATACATCTACGCCACAAGAATCTTTAACGCAAAAAGTGAAAATACCCAAAAAACGACGAACAAAATTGATTGATAATGGACAATTTGATAACAATCCCTTCAAGTCATTGCACATGCAAGATTCAGAATCGGAGTGGTCCTCTTCCGACGATGACGAAGAGGAGTCGGAAGCTGAAGCAGATGAGGGTAATGAGATAGAAATCGAAACCCAAATTAAAAATTTAAGCCTTAATACCCAAAAACCCTCCACCGAGACAGTGAAGAATGTCAAACAAATGGAAAACAAACAAAAGACCCAAAACTCGAAGAAAACGTCTCGTGATGTCAATGAAACACAATTGCGTGACCCCCCAGCAATAACATCGCTCGCAACCAAAGGGGCAACTGCAAAGCAACACAATAATAAAAATGCGACCAACAAAGCCCCAAAACCACTTGGGAATGAAAACAAATATCCGTCAACAGCAACCGCATCCAAACAAAATAATATTGGACAGCCACAAATGCAGCAGTCGAATAATATACGTTCATCCAAGAGTTCCAATTCTTCAGTGAAGCAAACGGCGGCTGGAAATAGTAATCGCAAGGGAAAGGCCGACAATCGTTCCTCGATTGACGCGAACACTACAACGCAACACACATCAACTACTACTAAATCGGATTCTAATACTAATGTCAATTCCACCAAAAATCAAACCCGAAACAATGTCCGCAATGCGATTCGTAATCAAAACTCAATAGCAAACCATCCGCAGCAATCTTTCGAAGATAATCAGTACAATCAGAAAATAACGTCCGCGATCAATAGTACTGCTGGCGTTAGTGATGGCAAAAACAAACGTTCTCAGCGTAATAAAAAATTCCAACAGAAAAATCTGAAACCTAACCAGTCCCAACATCAACATTGTTGTTCCGGTATACCCAACAATATGGGATATTTCAATCCAAATGATGTCAATATTACACCTACACCGTCACTCACTACGACTAGCCATAGTCAGAATCTGAACGCTCAGAGTTGCACTTATCAGAACCTGACTGATCAAATGCAGGCAATGCGGATAAGTGGCAATGTTGGTCCACAGCAACGCATGCACAACAACAGTAATGTTAGTATTATGGATCAATTGAATCGAGGGGTTCAAGTTGAAAATCTTTCCCTACCACCGGGCATCACCCTTACTAAAGTTGACCCAATAAAAAGCGAACAGCTACGTCAGAAATCGGAGTCGATTAAGAAGTTGGCAAAACCACTACAACCAGCTCCGCCGCCCATGTCTCAAACACCACAAGCATTCCATCACGCTGGTATGGCTGGTACCACTATTATTGCACCGCCTGTTGCACCCCTGTCGAATTATTATGGTTCACATTATTCTGCTGGTGCTGCTGGTATGATACCTACAGCCGCTCTAGATCCTCAAAGTGGCATAATAATGGTTGAGGCCAATCCTCCCAAGTGTAATACAACAACTCAGGCAGCTAACATTGGCTCATGCACCAATACAAATAAGCAATCCAAAAATAAGAAACGCCGAAATAAATCGAAGGCAAACAACAACAACAACGGTGCATGTCCCCTGGCAAATTCTGGTAGTAATGCAAAAAGTCAGGAGAGCTCCACAAATAATGCTGCCGCCGGTCAACCAAAAATGATAACATTACGAAATCCCATGTTTCACGGTGGTCCAACAGGTGCCCCGGCAACTATTTTGCCACAGTCTGGATTAATGCAAGGTAACATGATCACTTTTTTATTTATAATTTTATCTATAAAAATGGGACCCTCATATTTAATTTGAAATTTCGTAAGTGTGTAACTTTAGATATAGGTACAGTGACGGCAAAATTAATAAGATTTCCGATTTCCTTTCCACTATTAAAAGAAAAAAAAATATAATAAATGAAGTGAGTTTTATGAAATGATTTTCTTAAGTTTATTTAATTTTTACCGAAAAAATAAAATAATAACATTTTTAAATACCTACGTTTAATTTTTTTGTTGAATAATAAGTCTTCATAAGAGAATTGATAGTGTTTTCTTTCAAAAGTAACTGTTATTTTGGGTATATTCACATACACAGCGCACTATGTTTTTTAATTTAAATGTTTTATTATTTTTAATACCACAAATTTACAACTTTCGCTTTCAAAAACAACTTGCAAAATGATATTTGACTTTAGAAGAATTAAAAGAACAAATAGACATTAAGAAATTAATAACGGTACAACACCAGCAGCAAAACCAGATTTCACAACACATGTGGGCCAGTCAGGGGTAAAAAATAGTTGTTATAAAAGGAAAAAAACATTTTTCGAATTCTTAGTAATTTCTTTTTATTTTCAGTTTTAATCATAGATATATGGGCTAATAAGTCTCTTCTGCAATTTTAGGTCGCCCATTGGATGCATATCCAATTGCAGCTCCTCTGCCCGTAGATCAACCCGCCGCCATAATTAAAAACGAAAACGGTATGTATACCATCCGTAATCCGGCCCTACATCAGGCTGTAACAAATGGCTTAGTACTGGGCGGTTATAGACAATTTGGCAATGTTAATTTCTATACACCACAAGAGGCTGCAGCGGAAGCAGCCAGAGCAACATTACAACAACAACATCAACATCAAAACAACGAGAACGCCAAAAGTGCAACAACAATATCCGGAAATATGAGCACTTCTTCGTTTTCGTATTTTTCCAATGATAATGTCGCTACGAATACAACTCACAACAATATAAGTATTAGTTGTACCAGCGTTGGTAACGGCCGAAATGTTAGTCCCCAAAGGACAGGAGGCGGTGGATTGACCGGAGATGCGGCCGTTATTCAACGACCAACACCAGCACAAAAATGTATATCAGCCATTGGTAGCGAAATCAAAAATGCTCAACAGCAAAAACAAAAATCAAAAGAGCAACACTGGTCGCATTTCGGTACAGATTCAATGCCGATTACAAAACCCGATAATGGTAAAATAATGTGTAATTGTTGTTCTAACTAAATGTTTATTTTATGTTTATTTTTGTTTTGGCAGTAGCTTGTAGTTCTTCGTTCGTTTTGGGAGCTGTTGCTGATCTCTGCAAGAAAAGTATCAGCAATCCAAATATTATAATGGTTTTGATGTATTCACTGCCGGTAGCAGTGGCGGAAGCAGCTCTTCAGCAACAACAGCTGCACACATCCATCATAGCTGTGGAGACGATTCCCCACCTCCATCAATTACGGGATATAATTCTTATATTGAAGGTATTCCTAATACCGGTGTTATACGTTACGACGATGCTTCCTTTTTAAAGAACTTGATTCCGGGACAAAATCTTAATACAGAGGTGAGTGTTCTAAATGGCATCTGCCTTATAAGTTCATCAGCTTATTCCATACATAAAAGTCATATTGCCGTAGAACGATACGTATTCGGAATATGCCAGTTATATTGTTTGGATTTGTTAGATCTCTAACTAATAGACTGTTATAGCCAACAACATTGCGTTATTAATAATTACTATTGTTTTTTTTTTCAAAGACTTGTTACCAGGTTTACTAGATCTAATTTTCACTAATTGTTCATATTTCATAAAAGATGATTTTTGTATTCGTTCTACATTAACATTTATTGCACAACAGAATTTATAGAAGTGCTTGAAAAAATCTAAACTTCTATTATGTTCGCAATACATTGACTGCTATACTCAAAAATTAATTCAAATTATAATGAATGAAAAATTTATACTTATACTTTGAGGTTCTTCATGTTCGGCTGCTTTTTTAATGAGTTATGATGGTAATCACTCTGGGCTATGGATTCCATTTTGGAACTATAATATATATGGACAATATTGCCAATTTTTTAACATAGCTGAAGCCGATCGTTTATAACTCCGGAATAATTAAAGTACATAAGAAAAATTGTATAGTTTTGGAAGTATTGATCCAAAGTTTATTTACGTGGATGCGTGTCTACTTTAATGTAAAAAATGGTTAAAAGCAGGGTGAGGCAACCCAGGGTTTTAATGTTTCATCCCGATTTGTGGCTTTGCCATTAATTGCACGGCATACGTGCCATAATAAAAGCCTACAAACTAAGGATTAAGTTCTTAGTTTATCGTTTTTCGAAAATTTATCTGCCTTTAAATGATACTGAACTCTTGAAGCTCGATTTTTAATGTTTTTGAATTTTTCTTTTAGTTTCAAGGAGCAATCACGAATTTCCAAAAAATAATTTTAGGATTGTTCTACTCGCGAATTTGCGTAATATATATTGCTATATATTTTTTGTATGTTGTTGTAGTAGCCCTATTGCTTTTACACAATGGGCTGAGGTGACAGATGCTGGCCGAGTAAGACTCGGGTCGTTTCGGATCGTATACCACTCTGTCGTGGACACGATTTTGTCTATTTAGTATGTACGTTTTCAGTGTATTTAGTATGTACGTTTTCAGTGTAATACTCATCCGAAAGTGGAAATTTTGTACAATCAAATTTCATTTGATTCATATGGGACCCGTGATCAGTAAGCTTTTTTCCGATTCAGTAAACGGTCTGATACGGATTTTGAACTTTTCCAAAAACAGAACTTTAAAAATTCGGCCGAAAGAGAGATGTACCAACTTATCTCAAAAAATGGACCGCATTGAAATAGGTAAAGATCAGGTTCGAAATATAGATCCGCAGAATGTTAGAGTTCGATGATGGTTGTGCTCCGTTCACTGGTTTACATATGTAGTCATTTGAAAGGCCCGCTGATGCATGATGCATGTTAATACATGTTGTTGAAGGAATTCACTGTAGATTGTTGTAGGCCAATATGCCTGAGCCAGAGAGGACCCTCTGGCTTTCCTATTAATTGCAAAACTTCGATTATCAAGCTCAAATCAAAAGAGACAATAACTCTACCAGACAATAGCTCTTATTTGACATGCCGCAAAGTTAAACTTCAATTTTAAGAATATAATGCAGTTCAACAATACAATTATTAAATTTTAGTTTCAATTTTAGGTATCAATTCATAATGTTAGCGACTCGAATTTCGCTCGCAATGCCAATTCTCCACAAGCACATCGCGTGGAAATTACACCAGTTTATGGTGGCAATAGACCAGCATCATCTAACAGCCTATTTGAGCCAAATACTGTGCAAAATAATCCATCGAATTTTCGAGGAAACTATCGTGATCACTACAATGGTAAGTATTGATACAATTCAGCAGTTTTGTAGTTGACAATCAGCCATCGTTATTCTGCATTCTTCAGATTCCAATATATTCTCTAATAACAATATGCATATGAACCTTGGCGAATTGGACCCGGCAATGAACTATGATTTTGAATCGACACAACACCCACAGCCAACAACATCTGTTGCAAATGTAACATCAAGTGATAACCATAACTCAATTTTAGACTTTAACAACATATTAAATAATAATAAGAATGGAACCACTGGCTCAGCCAGTCATCGTACATCTCCCTATATGGACGAACATACCCTAGAAGGTTTTGTACAAAACATAAATTCCATGCGCATCTCTTCAAACACAACAGTAGGAGCTGCCCCGACAGCGGCTGCGGACGAGCAAAGCTCCCAAATGAATGGCAATAGTAGTGGCAGTGGCATTGGGCATCATACAGTCACCACCAGTGCCAATACCAATGGTTGGTGGTAGACACAAACTCATGAACAGAACAAACCACATTCATCCAGTTGAATGTAGATAGTCTCACACAAAATAAAGTAAAACTATTTAAAATAAAACTATTCAAAGAATAGATTCTTCCCATTAATCATTACTCCTAATATGGAACATACTTATTATTTGCAATATATGTATTTCTTTCGTCAGTATAACAATAGATCGAAATGTTTGAAAATAGGGAACATGGACATAGGTCATATGTTTTTGCGTTTACGTGAAGACCAACTAGTAAACAACACCATGTCGGTGAGTTGAACTATACAGTAATTTAATTTACAATTAAGTGGATTAGAGAAGCTTGTCGTTCATTTTACATTATTTTAAAAAAAATCTTACAGATATACACGTAACACGTACATACTTATATTAATCGTATCCAGCAGTATTTTGCAATTTATGAAAATAAAAATAAAAAAGAAAACTTAAATCGTCTATTTAATCATTTTTCATTAAATAACAATACACAAACAAAATAAAACTCGAAAATGAATCCAGAATTAAGAGAGACGTAAATGTATATGCGTACGGTTAAATGCGAAATAAAATAATTATCAAAACAAACAAGGATTTGAATCAAATATCTTTTCTTTCAAAGGATGGAAATTTCAAATTAACAGATGGTAAGTAAATAAAAAACCAAAAATGATAATAATAATGCTGGTTATAATCTACCAATATAATCCACAATACTGTGAATGGATTTGATGATCTCCACAATTTTAAGACCTTGCAGTTAAACTGTAATGGTCTTAGAAACAAAATTGTGGAGAACACCAATTTCATGCAATATCATAATAGCTGTCATCCAGGAGACAAAACTTACGGGCGAGGTCAGACTTAGTTCTCATGGAAATTATATCATAATAGACAAGATAGTCAGAGGAGCCATGGCTTTCATTATAAATCGTAATGTCTGCTTCCGCCTCATGACCCTTCCACTCAATCTTAATGACGATTACCTATTCAAACAGGAGGCAATAAAGAGATCTTCGATGTAAACATTCCGCCAGTAAACAGTATCGGTTGGTAGGTGATAGTAGAATGGTCATTAGCGACTTTTATGCACATCAGATCACATCCCCATAGTGATCTCTGTGGAGAAACCTAGCGACTTTATGGAGCCGTATACGCGCACATTTGTGAATTACAGCAAAACCAACTGGCATGGTTTCACAAATGATGTTGACAATGCAATCCAAACCTTTACGGATGACCCAAAGATTGCTACCCTGACGGAAGAAGTTAACTTTCTTATCAACCAGCACCGTTGTGTAAAATGGGTAGAACACTTAAATAACTGCAAAGCTGGGGCTGATGCTGAGAGTCGACACCGTTCGGAATTATGGACTTACGATCGAAATTTCGTACTTTTGGTATTCTGACAGAGGATATCGCTTAAAGTGTATCGGAATTTCGTATGCTATTAACGCTTAACTGTCACACGCAAGCCTTCGCTTTTTTGCATAGCATATGAGTTATCGCAAACAATTTAGCGCTATTTTCCCACTTATATTGCCACCACTATCGCAGACAGAAAATAGGAAATGTAAGTGAACTTTTGAAGTATTCTACTAATTGCATTTCGACTTACACCAATAATAAAATCATTTCCAACATTGCGTTGGAAGCCCCCAGATGCCAGAAGGGACAAAGCTGCTGCCAGTTGTATTTTTGGTGGTATACTGTTGAAATTGCTCCGTTGGATTTAATTTCTTTAATAACATATCTGAAGCAGGGACCGAAAATAACAGTTATTTTTTAAAATGCGAACAAAAAAATCTTCATGTTAGAGACATGGGGCACCAATAGTGTCATATACCAATAGATTCGTACTGAGGAGCCCATTAAGGATATTGAGTGATCTTGAGAAAACACTCTCAGTTCCCATGTTAAGGATTATTTTTTAACGGAAAAAATAAACGTTGATTTTTAACTGTTAAAAATGATTTTTATTTTTTCCGTCAAAAATAAAAGTCTTTTTGCGATTTTTATTTTTTCCGTTAAAAATAAAAGTCTTTTTGGGACTTTTATTTTTTCCGTCAAAAATAACAGTCTTTTTGGGACTTTTATTTTTTCCGTCAAAAATAAAAGTCTTTTGGGGATTTTTATTTTTTCCGTCAGAAAATAAAAGTCTTTTTGGGATTTTTATTTTTTCCGTCAGGAAATAAAACCCTTTTTATGTAAAGAAGTTTATACAACTTGTAATCAGTTATAAAATTACAATTTATAAATCTCTGTCCTTATTACAATAAGTGTACACATAAGTAATCAAGATCAAAGGTAAAAAATATTTGTTATAAATTTTTAAAAAATAGTCTAGTGTACCAAATCATGAATATAAATTAAAGAATCATTCCCCTGACTATTAGGTCAAAGGTTATATAACTGGTACCAAACTCTATATATTTATTTACGTAAAAAGACTTTTATTTTCTGACGGAAAAAATAAAAATCACAAAAAGACTTTTATTATTGACGGAAAAAATAAAAGTCCCAAAAAGACTTTTATTTTTGACGGAAAAAATAAAAGTCCCAAAAAGACTGTTATTTTTGACGGAAAAAATAAAAGTCCCAAAAAGACTTTTATTTTTGACGAAAAAAATAAAAATCCCAAAAAGACTTTTATTTTTGATGGAAAAAATAAAAATCATTTTTAACAGTTAAAAATCAACGTTTATTTTTTCCGTTAAAAAATAAATAATTAAAGTGAATTTTGTTGCGTGGGACTGACTGCATCACAAATTTTCTTTTAATTAAGTTAAAATAAAAAAAAAAATTAAATAAAAAGGAAAAATTGTCCGCGACCTCCCGACCACAGCAACCGGCACTTTAGAAATGAAGCGGAAATGCAGTGGTACCAAAAATTGCCGCTACTGTCAGAGTTGCATTAACACCGATTAGTATCGATGTTTATTAATCGGATATGCAACTCTGCGATAATTATAGGGGTCGCTAGGTCGTAGATAGGAAAAAATGATAAACAGCAGGGAAAAAAGAAAAGACCGAAAAGAGGGAAAATTCGGCGTCGTCCCCTGCAGTATAAAAGGGCCCCAAAGGAAAAAATGCGCTCTCATTTGAATAGTGGTGCGGTACGATAGTTTTTCGGAAAATAAAACAAAATCAAATATTAGTTTTTTAAAAGGCCTAAATTTGCCTTAATTGATTTTTATTTATGTTGTGGGCGTTAAAACAGATTGTAAGTGTAAAGTCATTGTGTAGTGTGTGATTGTGTCGACTTATGTTGTTTTGTGCGTTTTTTTTTTGTTTGCAGTGTACCACCAATTAGCCTAAAATCTGAGGCTTCAACTGACCTCCCCAACAAATATAAAACGGAGAGGTCAGTTTTTATTTTGATCGGCCACAAAAAAAAACCCGCTACCGCAACAGCCACCAACTTATTCCAGGCCACAATCGCTGCCATTGCATCGGCCGCACCAATAATCACCGCAAAACAGCCACCAAATTGGCCCCAGCCACAATAGGCACGGCAACAACAGCAAGCGCCAAACTACCGGGTTCTGCCTAATCCCGAGGAAGACGTCGGCTGTAGGTGTGCTGAAAAGGAATAAAAACAGAAAGGTTACCAATTATTATTATTTTGGATTAATCCAGGTAACGAAAATATTACTTACCAAGTCCATATGTAAAACTGGCAGCACCGCCATAAAAATCAAAGCAACCAAAAATCTGAAAAGAAAGTAAAGAAAAAAATATATTATTTACCAAACAAAATTATAAAAAAAGGCATAACCAAAATTAAAGAAAAATGAAGAATATGAAAATTCTGAAAATCAATTAAAATTAAAAATATTAAAAAAAAAATACTATATACTATTTAAACTCTTAGGTTAAATCTAGGTTAAGTTGTGTTGTCCATAAGTGTTTATTAAATAATGATTCTAAATATCTATATGTAAGAAGCATTAACTAGGTTTTTTTTCGTAAGATATAGTGATTATAGGGTTGCCCCAATTTATGGAGGTTGTTTTATTCTTAGTGTGGACGAATTAATATGTCCAATAAAAACCTACTAAGCGAGCTCATTTAGGAAGGTATAACAATTTTAATATTTGGGAGAAAAGCCTTTATTGGCAGTGCTTGATAACCACGTAAAGAAAGGGTAAAAATCCAATATTTAATGAATCACAAAATTTATAGAGAATAGTTAATGTTTCATTCTTATCGTGTTTTATCTATTAAGGAAATTATGTCAATAAACTGTTTTTGATTTGTTTGTTAAAATAATATGATGTTCTGATTGTTTTTGTGAGAGAGGAGAGTTAGGATATTGTAATGAGGTGAGTGTATGTGGAATTCGGGGCCCTTTAAATGTTTATGAGTTAATAGGATCTAAGGGTCAAGGTAGGGTGGGCAAGTGTGGGAGTAAAACCACCAATCTCCCTTGTTTCCGGTGTACCAGGTGTTTGTGTTGTGTAGTATTTGTCTTCATGTTTGTTGAAACAAAAATTTAATTGTTCGTCCTCTAGGACTATTGGTGTCTGGGATGGAACCGCCCTGATTATTGGCTCCTGAGCTAGCGGCCACAGTAACACCATAGTGCCGAAGTAGGTGGCACGTAACAAATCGCATTTTCTTCCAATGACTATCTGATGTTGCAAACACAGCTTTAATTATTTTAAATTTGTGATAAATGTGCAATATTAGATTAGGTTTCTTAGAAAATTAGGATTTTCGTTCCATACTCAAGGGTCAGCTGCAATAGTCTTGTTCGTTCAGTGTAACAATGAATGTATTGTGTATTATGACCTGTGTTTTTTTTGTGTTTCAGTTTTTATTTATTTTTTTTATTTATTTATTTTAGTATAAGCCATAGACGTAGGGTTAGCATAGTGAAAAGTGCAATAGCTATTGAGAAGAAGTAATCTCAATGTGCATTGTGCGAAGTACTCATACACGAGATCTTTTTCATTAAAATTTTTATTGAAAACTGCCGTGTTG